CTACAGATATATTTGTAATATTTATGTTCAACTTGAATAAATGTCAACAAATCTACTTAGGATGTGTCTTTTGGAAATAACATTTTAGTTCATAAATAACATGTTTTAAAAATAGAATATAGGTAGATAGCTTAWATATTTATTGTAAATAGTCTTTTAATAAATTCTATGTAATAATGGCTCTAAGCGTAAAATCAAAATGAGTTTATTTAAGTTTTAATAATACAATTTTTTATGTTAATAACTGATGAAGGTTTTAAAAATAATTTTATTTACCAAATGTAGTTAATATCTTCCTCTTCCACCTCGTCCAAAAGTACCTCTACCACCACGACTTGGGTTTCCAGGACCTCTTCCAGATATTCCTCTTACAGGGCCACTTCCTCTTCCACGAACACCTCCTCTTCCTCTTCCACCAAAACTACTTCCTTCACCACTGGCAAAACTTCTGCCACTAAATCCAGTACTAAAGTCGTTGTAGCCACTGTCAAAACCACCTAGATAATAATATAAAATAAAATGAGTATAATAGTATTGTCAAACAGAATATAAAATATAGTATTACTATTGTAAGGTCCAGGTCTTGCAGCTCCGCTTCCTCGTAATGGACCRTTACTTCCTCTTATAGGACCAACGCCAAAACTTTGTTGATAGCCATCACTGAAACTATTATCCCAAGCACTAGTTGATGGACCTCCCCAATTACTTCCTCGAGAACTAGGACCTGACTCCCATGGGTCAGGGTCATTACCACCTAAAACGTTATACAATTTACATGAAATAAATATGTATGTATTAATGACAAAAAATATATTTTTAAGTAAATTTAACAAGTTTTACTTCTCCATCCTCCACCTCTTCCAAAATTTCTCATTGTTGGTTCCCAGGCACTTCGATTATCACTACCCCAATTATCCGCAGAATGACTGTTATTTCTAGCATTTACTCTAGCCATTTCTTCTTTACTCAAAGCTTTTTTTACATCAATTTTTTTCCCTTTTATAATATGCGATCCTTTTACTGTTAAACAAAATAAAATGGGAAAATTAAAAATAAAAATAAAAATCGTAGTAAAAACATATATATAATGAAACTTACAACATATTTTATCAACTGGATCATAATCATCAAATTCAACAAAACCAAATCCTCTTTTTTTGCCAGTTTCTTTATGAACAACTAGGGCAGCAGAAGTAACATTACCGTATGGAGAAAAATATTCTTTTAAGTCTTCTTCAGTTATGCTGTCATTTAACAGACCTACAAACAACTTTTTAACAGTAGCCCCGGCTTCAGGTTTTCCAATATCCTATTAAAATATATATTTATGTTAAACAATAATTACAATAATAATCTTAATTAAATAATATTGCATTACAGTTTTTGGTACAGCTCTCTTAGGTTCTACTGTCCGACCATCTATCTTGTGGGGACGTGCACCTTGTGCATCATCAACCATATGGGCTGCAGCATAAGTAATAAAGCCAAATCCTCTTGATCGTTTAGTCTGTGGATCTTTCATAACAACAACATCCATAATTTCACCCCATTGTTCAAAATATTTTTTGAGATTTTCATCTGTAGTTTTATAGTCTAATCCACCGACAAATAATTTACGTAAATGTTCAGGCTCCCTCTAAAATAAAAAGTAAATAACTTATATTAAATTAAATACCATTAGATTTGTATTTTAAAACGTATTGTAATTGTTGAGCTAGATTTAAAATAAAAAGCTAATAAAAAAAAAGACAAGATTTATATATTTGAAGAAAGTAGTTATTTTTAAACTTTGATAAAGGGATTAATTATTGTTGGTGAACAGTTATACATAAATAAATAACAGTATTTAATACTTTAAACGGTGTACAATAAATTAAAAAATTTCTTGCATATTCAYTGTTGTATATAAAATTAGGTATAGGACCCGGTATAGGATGATTTTATATTTCCTAAAATTTATATGCTTACACAGTTTAGTATTGTTTTTTTAACAATAATTTCTGCTAATTTTAGAATCAGAAATTAAGAATACTTGAAATAATAATATTAGTAATACTATACATAAAACTATCATAATAAAACCCAATGTTCAAAAATAACAGTGTATTGCTATTGTGTAAATAACAGGTTCACAGGTAACAGGAGTTATTACATAAACATCAGTAATAATTGTTGGGAAGCTAATTTGAAAAAWTATGTTTATTACAATAGAACGAAAAGTAGAGGATGTGTTGTTTTATAACATAACATAATCATAGCTGGAATATTAGTAGTTATTTTACTGTAGATTATTTCGGTAAAGAATTCGGGTCAGAGAAATATAATTATTAGGTCTCAACTCATTTGTTTAAAGAATCATATTAGTATTATAACAGATAGGCAATTGGTTATTCTCAATTATTACAAATCAGTCGTAATCCTTTTTAAGCGTTTAAAAAAATTAGAGAATTAGAGAACAAAATAAAACAAAAATTGTGTTTATAGTGTTCTCTTAACAATATTAAACAAAATTGTCTGGCATTAAGAAATTAAGTATTAAGCGATTCATTTATTTAAATGTGTATATTATTACCATGTTCACGAGTAGTAAGAATTATCTTAAGTAGATGCGAACAGATATCGTTTAGTTTAATATTATGGTAGTAAACGTCTAATAAAATTAGATATGATTAGTGTGAAAAAATAAATAAAAACAACAACGATAAAATAAAAAAAAATAAAACAGATATGTTTAAAGTTATAAAAAAGTTCAAGATGAAAAGAATTATACTTAAACAATCCACGGGATTGATTAATGTTTATAAGAAATCACAAAAGCGTCAGGCGAGAACCATGAAACTTCAAAACGTAAACACTAACTCGAAAATTCTGTGAAAAATAAACACAGGCACACAGTAATCCATTKCCYAACGCCTTATGCACCTTTTAGTTTCAGTGGCTGCACTGAATGGTGGCAGTGGCGGTAACAATCATTCAGCCTAGTCACTTTCTAGTCTACCCAGGGTAAACTTCAGGATAGTGACACACTGACACATTGTGATTGTACAAATAATAATTTGAAAAAAGCGCGCTTATTTCGATAAAGCAGAGTAAAAAATAAAAATTGAATCWTTCAAAAAAATGTATTTATTGTATTATAGCCAAATTGACTATTTGTTTTGTAATAGACCATAAAATAAAATAGATGTATTGATTAATCAAAAACTGGAGAGATTTATTCGAAAACAACGAAAGTTGGCCAAAAAATGGAAATTCAATCAAACATTTTCTGTCAAAATATCCACTGTAACAGTTTATGTCAGAAAAGCAATCGAAAACATTGGCGAATTTGGTTAGAATTTTTWAAAAAAATTTTCCAATTCAATTTTGAATTTGGCAAGTTTTTAAAGAACTACGAAAAAAAACTAAGTAAAAACTTCCAATGTTCTTTATTATTGACATGTGGCGAATTGATATTAATAAGGATATTTTTTGCGTAACCTATTACACCACAAAAAAAAATAAAATTGATAAATTACTCAAGTTCAGGGACGTCATCTAGTATCTAAAGAGGACGCTACACCCGCGTGTGTTGTCTCCGTCTTACAAGTACGTAACATTGCAAAAACTGTTTCGCGCGGGAAAGAACCGAGAAGGCTACAGTCATAACTAAGAAACGAAATTCTCACCACAGATAAAAGGGAATTTCGACTGTGCAACGTTGTTTTTATTTTTTTGATATTATAGAACTGAAAAAAAAGTTATTCGACTTTGAAAAACGCAAAAATAATGAATTTTATATTAGGTGGTGAAAATGTCGTTTCTTAGTTATAACTGTAACCTTCTCGGTTCTTTCCCGCGCGAAACAGTTTTTGCAATGTTACGCACTTGTAAGACGGAGACAACACATGCAGGTATGTAGCATCCTCTTAACTGTCAAGAATAATGCCACTTCAGGAAAAAGAGCTCATATACATCCGACTTCGTGATACGTCCGATGAGGAGGTAAACATTCTTCGTCAAAAAAACAAGACTGTAACAGAATGCACTGTCTGTAAAGAAGGAGGAAACGGAAAAAAAGTCTCGGGAGAAAAAAGTATATAAAACTTTGAAAATTTTTAAAATTTTAAAATTTAAAAACTATTAAGTTGCAGGGATGATAATTTAGTGTTTTTTTTATAGATATATATTATTTTCCATTTTGTAAAAATATTCAAGACAAGGCATTAAAGCTAGTGATAATAAACTGATATCATATAATATGTGTAATTATATAATGACATAATGTATATTATTTTTAATTATATTATTGACTACAGATTCAATGGACAATGATATTTATTTTAATTCATAGTTATTTTATTATTATTATTATTTTAAATATATCTTTTGTATTTAAAAAAAGCGGGTAAGTGGATGTCGCCTG